AACAATAAAGGACTAAGGACTCGTCAAGTCAACTCTTGAGCTGTCAAAATTCTGTAAAGTCGATGAAGTATCTTGCCAAAGGAGAGTTGCCTTGTGGCTGCTTTTGCTTAATCTCAAAAATTTCCACATAATGTAATGGTTGAAGGTTTTTTTTTTTTTTTTAAAAATCAATTTTCCTCGGATCTGTACGTTCACCAAATTAAAATTATATCGTAATTAACTGCTTATCAATATATCAATATTAATTTTCCACACACAATATAAGTTTCTTAGAGATTTTTATGTACCTGTAAAAGATGATTTAATGTTGTTCTATAGTAGTGTGTGTTTAGCATGAAAGTCTTTGGCCAATGATGTTGTCATTTTCTTCATAACATTTTAATTAAGATCAAATAAATTTTTCTTCTTTAATACAAGCATATATATCACGTCTCAAATCTTCATCCATAGTCGCCAAAAATCCTGTAATTTGCAAGCTGTAATGGAGTTTATTATAGGTGTTATATATATGACTCATACGTAATAATGGAGGTTCAGGTTTCTTGTGTAATAAAAATAAGGGAGAATGATGGTTGAGGACCCCCTAAGGACATTAATTCCAGTTAGGGATCCTGAAAAATAAAAATCCCAATTAAAGACCATGGTCTTTAAGTGGGATAAAAAACAAACTTGAGTTTACAAAACTGCCCCCTCACTAAATATTGAAAGGTAACAGGAAAGAAGCTCATCTCATGTGCTCTGTTTTCTTGTTTTTCGGCAGGAAAAATACTGATGGAGTGTGCTCTCGTGCGCTGAAAATGTTAGGGAAAAATTAGTGGAGCATAATCGTCTTCTAATAGGTAATTGTATGCATTGCTTCTTTTACATTTCGTCCTCTGCCATGCATGAAAGTGAAGTCTGCATCTTCTTCTTCCATTTCTTTTCCATTGCTCTGTTTTCTTTTTTTACACATGTTCTCTGTCATGCACGCATAGAAAGAATGTTTTAATCTTTGCAAATGTTGTCTTGCACCATTTCTCTTTGTTTTATACCTAGAAAAAAAAGTATTCTTCTTAATGATTACTAGACTTTATATATAGACATGCGGAAGAAATGATTTCCGAGAACGACACAGTTGAAAAAGTTAAGGAGTGAAAAACAAGGAAAATGTAACATGGATGCTGAATTTTTATGATCTATGTTGAAAAGTGCGTGAATGTTGAAAAATGCAACATAGATGCTGAATTTATGTAGTCAAGGTTGGGATTATGGAATGGACAGTTGTGAAGTACTAAATTTGTATGTTGCTTGTAGTTGTTCCAGGTTTATTTCCCATATGGCAAGTACTTCAGCAAAAGAAGTATTTTGTTATCTTTATGTTGATGGACATTTTGTAAAAGATTTACAAGGGAAGATGACCTATGAAGGTGGGAGATTAATTTCTAAATTGATTAGAGAAGGCATAAATCATGAAGAGCTGTTGAGGATGGTGTCATCAGTGATAAGAGTTGAAAGTGGTGCAGCTGACTTAAAATTTACAGTGAAGTTTAGTGAAGACACATACATAAATTTGTTAGACGATGAGGGAGTACAACATTTGATAAAGTATAATGATGAGTCAGCACATGTGTATGTTGAGACAAATGATAATGAAATAAATGGAGCAATGGATAATTCGATGGAGTAAGTTGTTATTCATAGTTATTTGTGTTTAATTAGTTTAATGACCATTTATATTGACTTGTAAGTAATTGAAAATGTAGGATGGAGAATTTGTTAACATGGTCACTGCCAGGATCTCCCTGTAGGCAAGAGCTTGAAAGTATATTACCCTCTTTGCCATGTTCAACACAAAATGCTCTTGCACCACTGCCTGAGGTTAATTCAGTAAAATGGAAGGATTTATTTATGGGTGTTGGCCAGACATTTGATGATACAATTGTATTCAAAAAAGCACTATATAAATACAGCCTTGCTCATAGGTTTGGTTACATATTTGTGAGAAACAGCCCTAAGAAGATGATTGTTAAATGCAATATTGATGGTTGTAAATGGAAGATATCAGCTTATGCTCTTGGGAAGACAACCTCTATATTGTGTGTGAAAAAATTCCACAAGGAACATATGCATTCTACTCAAGACAACCTCCTATTAAAGCAAAAGGCTAACTCAAAATTGACATCATCAATCATCATTGATGTTATGAGGGGGAATGTGGAGAAAACTTCAAATGAGATTAGACAAGACCTCTACAAAGAGTATGGGTTAAATCTCACATATCAATAAGCTTTGAGGGGAAAAGATAGAGCATTGGAGGAAATACATGGGCTTCCACAACAGTCATACATGTTGATTCCATGGCTTTGCGAGAAATTAAAGGAGACGGACCCAGACACAGTTGCAAAGTGGGTTGCCTTGACAAATTATAGATTTGATAGACTTTTTATTGTATATGGATGCTGCATCAAAGGGTTTCTCCAAGGTGCTCGTCCAATTTTGTTTATCGATGGAAGTCATTTAAGCGGTCCATATAAGGGGACTTTGCTAGCAGCTTCTGCAATTGATGCAAATAATGACTTATTTCCTTTGGCTTATGTAATAGTGGGTAGAGAAACATATGATAATTGGGCTTGGTTTCTTGAAAATGTGAGAGAGATCACACACCAAGTTCAATTGACCATAGTGTCAGACAAGCATAATGCTATTGTTGGTGCAGTGCGTGCAATATTTGATGGCAATCGACATGCTTTTTGTTATCGTCATGTCAAAGAAAATTACAGCTCAGAATTTACAAAAATTAATAGAGGCATGCGAAGGATTGATGGGATGACCAAGGAAGATGCACTTAAGTTGTTGGATAATATTGCATATGCAAGGTTGGAAACAGAATTTCATGTTGCTATGGGTCATTTGATGGTTTTCTCCCCACAGTTGGCAAGATGATTAGAAACAAATGAGGACATAAATCGTTGGGCGTTAGTAAGATTTCCATACAAAAGATGGGACAATATAACATCAAACCATGCTGAATCTTTCAATACTTGGTTAGTGAAAGAGAGAAAACATCATATATGTGCGTTGATAAATGAACACCGAGCAAAATTAACGAGGAAGCTATACAATAGCAAAATAGAAATGGTGAATTGGTCAAACAGAGTTAGACCACGTGTTGAGGCAAAATTGAGGGAGAATGTATTGAGAGCTGAAGTTATGGTGGCTGAACATTATAGTGTGAATATAATACTAGTGAAGGTAGGAAACAATGACTTGAGAGTGAATCTAACATTGCGAGAATGCTCTTGTCAAGAATGGCAAATGGTAGGAATTCCTTGTGCAGCAATAAAATTAGTTCAGGGTAATGTGTATTCATATGTTGAAGAATGTTACATTATTCGTGCACAAGAAAAAATTTACAGCTCCATAATGGTTCTGGTGGAAACCATTGACATACCTCAGTTGACTGAGCTACATTATGAAGATTATGAAAAGAATACCTTTTTGGAACTACTACTGACTACACATCCCCCAGGGCGACCACCTACCAAGCGAAGAGAGTCACAGTTTCAAAATAAAAAAGTATATCATTGCTTAAGATGTAATCAAGCTGGACATACCAAGAATAGATGTAGGAATCCCACTCCAATGTAAGGATTGAAAGGGGGTGAAAACCATATGCATATTAGTTAGTTTAAAATTGAAATGCATATGGTTTTTATTTATTTTGTGCATTTTGCTGTTGAATGACCTTTTGTACAGGCAGCCACCTCATATGTTTTTGTACTTGTGGAGGTTATAGGTTATGTAAATGGGATTGCAGTCTATGTTTTTCTTATAAAGACTGCATAGGTACCATTTAGGTAGTTGGGATATTTTTTGGGTAAAAAGGGATGCAAATATGGTGTACATGTATTACAATTAGTGTAATATAAAGCTGATGAAAATTTCAGGTCTAAATTTGTCCAAGTAAAAATGTTGTCATGGCATAAGACTGTTGAATTCACTAACGTAGTATAGGGATATTGCTAATGTAACTACTGACAACATAGAACCTTACTTGGGATTAAAATTTTGTGCAATATTTCAGACAATTAAGAGACTTGTCAGATAATAGGAATCAATAACGTTGGTTGGCAATTTCATATCCAAAGCAAGAAAAATTCCTACCATAAGTTATGAAATGAATAACCCTACTTAAGTGTCATTGTTTATTAGAAGATACCTGTCAGAAATCGGGATCCGGTAACCTTACTTGAGAATTTCCTAACCTGAGTTAAAAAAGTACCTAACGTATAATATGAAATGTCCTAACATGAGTTGGGAACTCTTTTTTTTATAAGTCTTGCCACAGATTGGGTTCCAAAAATTGCCGTTGGAAATTCCCTAACCTACCTTGCAAACATAACTAACGTATGTTGTGAACGTGCCTAAAGTGACTTGGGAATTCATTGTTAAAGGATAAGTATTACCACAAGTTGGGTTCCAACAAAGTCACTTGGGAATGGCCTAACCTAACTTGGAAAAAAGGTGAACGCATGTTTTGAAAGAGCCTAATGTGACTTAGGAATTGACTGCGTAAGGATAAGCCATTTGGCACAAGTTTTGTTCCAGCAACCTTACATGAGAATTTGGTAACTTAAGTTGGAAAAGTAACTAACATATGTTGTCAAAGTTCCTAATCTGACTTGGAAATTTATTATTTGATGAAAACCGACGTGGCACAAGTTGGGTTCCAGCAAAGTCTCTTGCGAATGTCCTAACCTAACTTGAAAAAAAACTGCATGTATGTTTTGAAAGAGCCTAACGTGAATTGGGACTTCATTATGTAACGATAAGCTGCTAGGCACAATTTGTGTTCCACCAACCTCACTTGGAAATTCCGTAACATATATTATGAAAAACCAGACGTCAGTTTTGAAAGTAATATGAGTCAATAAAAATCAACAACAGTTTGTCAAATTTCTTGAACATGTAGTCAAAGTTTTTTTTTAAATTAATTGCTGTATCATATACAAGAAGCCACGAAAAAAAACTTAATTACATAAAGGTTTAATTTACATATCACAAATGTCTACACTATGATTTCAATCTTTTAGATCGTCATGCCCAGTATTCGAAATGGACGTCATGACTTGAGAGCCCACTCTGTTATGTGGATGAGTCATAAACCAATACAATACCTGACTCCTCATTTCACTCAATTATTCCTACACAATCAGATAAAGTCAACTCACAAGATAGAAAACTGTCACACATAACAAATTATATCTTAACTTTAACATTTGTTCCTACCATTGTTAGAGGAGGCATAGTAAGGCCGCCCCATTCCTCTCGTGCAGTATTATTCCACTGTCTAAGGCAAAAGATGACATACATTCCACAATCAGATCTATAAAAAATATGAAATCTGTCAGCACGTAGTTGGGAAATATACACTTAATTACATGTACACAATTTCAGCTTTTTTACTCACGTCGTCGGTTGCTATTCCATAAGCACCACTTTCAACTTAAGGTCATAATTGTCATCAACAAGTTCAGGTTTCAGTTTCATTAATATTTCTACAAACCTGCTTTTCTGAGAATAAGAATAAAGTGAATGAGAAGCTTTTACCAACAAAATTTTATATATCATTTTATGGGAAAATGCATACCATAAAATATGCCATTTTTTCATTCTCTTTCGGCAACATCGCTTCCTTCGCTTTCTTTATATTCTTTTTTTTCTTCTTTGATTCTTTACCAGATTGTAGCATCGAGTCCAGCACATACATTGTGGCTGTTTTCGGCTCCACAACATAGTAAAACCAGTGCAATGCAAACACTATAGGGAAAAAAATAAAACCACAATCTTCTATGTTATACCCGATGGTAGTTGGCATGAAGTCCTTCAAATGGCTATCCAAGTCCCATCTTTTTTGTTGGTGGATTATGGTTCCCTGAAATGAAAAAAATGTAACACTTGTAACTTGTAAGCACTTAATAAAACAAAGGAATTAAATCGTCGGACAAACCATAAAATTTGGATCAAAAATGTGTCGCTGCATAAGTTGATCCTTTTCCTTTTGCTCATTGACCAAAAGTCTTCCAATTAATGTAACAACCTACATAACAAAATTACAGTTACATTAAAATTTTACTATAACTTGATCTATTTTAACTAGCACACTTGCTCACCGAACTATTGATCCATTGTCTAGGACCTAGACACTTGCATTCATATCTTATCACATAATACTGCTCAATCTCCATAATTTTCCTATTACAGAAAACAAAATTATATCAACCAATCGATTATGAATGCATGAACTAGTAAGGTAGAATATCATACTCATGTCCCTCATTGGGTGGAATAAACTTTGTACAGTATTGGTAAACTTCTTTCGCTATATATTATCCTCTTTCTTCATGTCCTCTTTTTTCCTTCCCTCTATCATCCAAAAAGGGTGAACGAATAGTGTTGACTATTTGTCGTTGCAATCGTCTTAGTGTCCTTTCACCCTTAGAGTCTTTTTTTTTAATTGGCTTTTCTACTTCTTCTTGTGCACCCGATTCTCCCTCCTTTTCATTTTTATCTCCTTCTACTTGTCCTTCCTCTTCTTCTTTTTCATCTTCTCTAGATCCCCCTTCCTCTTCATTTTCATCTCCTTCTACTTGTCCTTCCTCTTCTTTCTTCTCATCTTCTCCGAATTCTCCCTCCTTTTCATTTTCATCTCCTGTCTCTTCTCCTTCCTCTTCTTTGTCATCATGTTCCAACTCTTCCTCCTCTTCCTCTTCACCATCATGCTGTTCAACAACTTCCTCTCCTCTTCTTTTATCTTGGAGCTTGAGGAGTGTTTGTGCAATTCCACGTGTAAAGGTCACAATATCTCTGTATACCTCTTTTATGTCTTGCACCATATAAAATGTCATATGTTTAAAATTATATAAAAAATAACTTTGCTAATTAACAACCATCATTTTGCCCTTACCGGATCGTAAAATGAAGTCATTTTTGGAAGCTCTGCTGAGAAGCTGTCATGTCCTCGAGAAGGGTGATACAAAATGCCATGATTACTTGCCTTCTCAAGTTGAACTCGTGCTGTCACTCTTTCCTCTGTCCAATGTTCTAGAGCATCTTCTTACGATGACACCACAATTGGCTCCAATGGAAACATTTGAAAGTAGAAAATCTGCATATTTACATCTATATCATATAATCCACAAAATTTTGCAAAATAATTAACTTATAACAAATTATATCTTAATTTACCTACATACCGCAAGAAGAAATAAGCATCCTCCAACAGTTTTTTTGTGCCCATCCTTCTTCTCCCATGCTTTATATTCGACTACCTCCTTTCCAAGCTCAGATAGTATAAAAGATGACCAATCATAATGTACAGTTCCTAAATTTAACCCGGACATGACTTTCAATAGTTTATCACTTATTTTGGAACTCGAACTTGGAGAAAGAAAATTCCCTAAGCAATAGAGAATGAAGAGAAACTCAAATTTATCATTTTCTTTCCTCGAGAGTATCCTGTCCTTAATTACATTATAGGATACTTTTTTAAACTCCTTGTTTAACAACTTTAATTTATTCTTATCCCCATTCATATCAACTATCTCCCCATCATTAGGCAAGCCAAGTAAGGCATGAACTGTTTTGCCATTGATGACTTTCCTTTGACCTCTAATGAAAAAGGATGATATAGGAGGATTAAATGCCTTCATCACTTCGTCGCATAAATCTCTAGGCAACTTGTGACATTTAATATTTAAAAGCTTACCAAATCCTATTCTATTAACCCTATGCCTCAAAGATTTTCGCTTTTTGATATAATCAAAAACTTCCTTCATCTTTGTCGGAGAACACCTTGTCTCAAATGAAATCTATCCAAGTAAAACAAGTCAGCACCATTACTTGAATTCATAACATTTTTCATGCTTGAGGTCAAAAACAACATACCTCATAAGCTTTTATACCAGCGTTTTCCTCCTTAGCCAGACGCTTATAGTGATCTTGTTCTTCTGATGTCAACTTTTTCCATGCTGCAACTGCTTCTGTGTTGAGTTTTTTCAAATCATTTCCCTAGATTGTATACTTGCCACGATATGCCTCTTTGAACTTGCTTAAACCAGAACAACTTTTTTGCCTTAAAGGATTTCCTTTTGTTTTAGCCATTATCCTGCACATTAACAATTAGGGTAAAAAAACAAACTACTATTGAATGTATCTAACGTCACCAATGAATACACAAAATAATACTATTAGATTTACCAAATATGAAATCTAAATTTTCTCCATAGAACATGCGAGGGTCAGGGAAAGTCATAGTCACAGCCTCCCTAACTTCGCTAATTTTTTGGTCAAGATTGCATTCGTTTTTTACACAAGAAAATTTTCAAGTCGGAAGAACCTTGCCAAACTTTTATTTTATGAGGACATTATAAGAGCTTTAATGTCAAATTAAGACTTTTCAACATTGATGTTTCTAAATTTCAGTACTCCTTCAACCATATTTCAATACTAAAATTCCTTATTTGGCATTAATGTTATTACAAGTTCTTTATTTGTCATTCTCCCTTATTTTTAACTATTTTATTAGTCTATAATATCTTATCGACCTTTCTGCTACAATCTATATTTATGTTTTTCTTTTATTATGAAAAGGAAAGCTTTTCCAAATCTAGAGACCAAACACCAAACATGCCAATATAGAACCTAAGTTTCAGTGCAACACATAGAATGAATCAAGGAAGAGTCCAAAGTCCTTGTTAAGGAGTGCCTTTCTACCTTTTGTAACGGCCCTATGTTTTAAAACAGCCAGCTGTGGGCCAATTTTCATTGCTTCTTGAAAGACACATAACCAACTGTTATAAAATTTCCAGTTCATTGCCAGTATATGTGCTCGGCTAGCAAAAGAACAGAATAAAATAAATTCATCTTACAACATAAAAATACCAGACGAACAAAAGGCTTCTCACTCTTTCTTCCCAAATTCATGGTAAAATCATAGAATAGAGCAAAAAATCAGGTTCGAATATCGCATAAATATAAACAAATATGGAACTATTTTGGGATCACAAATCAATATTACTGTAGTTTCTTCTCTTTTGCAAATACCTTACTGGAATGACACTAGAAAAAAAAATGCACAATCAACAACAAACACAAAATCATTCTCACCCCCACCAAAGAACAGACCGAGGGATGGAAGGAGAGAGAGAGGCAGAGAGAGGCACCGAACCTGGAAGAAGAGAAGAGGGGGTACCAAACACAGAGCACGCACACTGGACTGAAAATGGGAGCAACAATAGAGGACCTCTCACCAGCGATTGCGCACCCCTGGACCTGATACAGAGAACCTGATCACCGGCTAAGCAGCCGGTCGAGCTGAAATAGAGGAAGATGACGAGAAGGAGCAACCGAGGAAGACACCGAAACAGAGCAGGAATAGGGCTCTCTCATGCACGGTACCTTTGTTTTGAGCTCAGGGGCATTTTCGACAATTCAACATTTTTTTTATCCACATTAAGGACCACAGTCCTTATTTGGGATTTCTATTTTTCAAGATCCCTAATTGAAATTAATATCCTTAGGGGGTCCTTAACTGTCATTCTCCCTAAAAATAATTCGATCGCAAGAGGATTTCTTGTAGAGAGGAAAAAGTAGTAACTTAAGCTAATTGCAGGGCTTTTTTTGTGTGTGTTTAATTTAAAAGATTATAATAAATAATAAGTCATACTCAATCCATGATTTACAAATAGTTATATTATATTAATCCTGCAATTAGGAATTAGCAATGACTTTTCATGGCATTTGTGATTGACGGTTTATGGTACCGGTAATTACACAAAGTATTGGTCTTAGATATTATATCAATAAATATGAATAACGTAACCGTTGATTGTTAGCGCATGATCAAGAAGATTTCATTAATTAAATCACCAATATATATATATATAATTTTTTTGGAAGAACAGAAATTTTTGATACAACATATATATGAATATAACGTTTCATTACTCAGATGGGGTGTATACACATGAAACGAAAACATACATAACAAAGCAAAAGGCTCATGAAATCTCTTCTACCCTTTATGAAGAAACCTTTCCCATAAAATCTGCTGTCTCATATACCTGTTATCAAATAAACAAAAATGTTGATAACTTCCTTAGCCAATTTGTTAACAAATTGTTGAAACAATAAAACATAATGTATGATCAAATGTTTTTTTTTTAATTGCTCATAAGTATCCTCTTATTTGAAGTAATCTTATTTGAAATACGATCATGTACTAAACTATGAGAATTCAAACCCTAGCATGACAAAATGTTTTTAATTGATAATAAACACAAAATAGTGTAATTTAGCTTTGTTCATATCTAATAGCCTGTGTATAAATGAAAATGAAGTTACGTACCTTTCAAGCATCATGACAGTTGCTTGCGGATTGGTCCCAGGTGAACCAAAAAAGGTTGATCCATCAATAACTCTGAGTGAATCCACACCCTTAACCTTATAAACACGATCCACAACCTTTCCAACATGGCAACCTCCATGGTAATGCCATATTGTGAGGACAGTGTCAATACAATATTGTTCCAAAGAGAAGGCAGCACTTGCATGTTTTGGCCTCAAGTTCATAGGTGAGCTCAAGACCAAGTCAAATAAGGCTTGGATTGGCATGTTCTTGTATCGAAACCTTGAGAAAGTATTGGAGTTTATCACATCAATGATGGTTCTCATACCTTCAACGCAGGCCCTGAGGTCTTCAGGTTCCTTGAAATAGTTGAATGTGACTAATGGATTGTCGTTTGGATTAGTAGTTGAGAGTTCTAAATGACCAGTTGAGAGAGGTCCTAGTATTTTTTCAAGTATGACTCCACCTGCAAGACTTAGGTTGGCAAAAGATCTAATGTTGGTTGTCCACTTATTCATATTTTTTGACTTCAGGGAATGCATACTCGTCTTCAAATAACAAACCAAAGTTAGGTTCTTATCTTAAAGATAAACTTGGAGCCTAAAACAATGAGAAGACTAACTTGGTTGGAGACTAACTCAAAAATCCTTTGAAGCCTTTGGGGCCAAGAAAGGCCCAAGTTCAACCCACTTGCAGTTTCAATGTAGGAACCAAACTTAGTGATACCTACTGTTTGTATGAGAGAAACTTCAATAGGTACAGGAGATGGCACAATGAGAACATTCATTGGATTGTCAGCCATACCTTGTCCCACCATTGGCTGATCCAACACCACTTTGATTCTGTGGGCCTGGAGATGATTGGCTGGCCCAATTCCACTCAACATTAGCATTTGTGGGCTTCCTGTTGCACCGGCTGACAATATTATCTCACCCATCCCTTTTAAATATGCTCTATGAATGATTCCAACCTCATCTTTGTATATTACACCATAGGCTTGTGGTCTCCTAGTTTCTGTGACAAAAACATCACTTTTTTTTTGTTCAAATTTAGGAGTAAATCTACCCCTCAAGTTACTTTTTGTCTTTCATTTGCTAAAGCATATTAGGTTATTGTTTAAATATCAAAGAGAGACTACATGATATCAACAACATCAAACGATTTACCATTTTTGAAGTGTTTTAGAATGTTAAAAGCAACCAAGACCATCAAACGTAGTGAAGCCAAATACGATAGCCAAATTGTTTTGGTATATACAAGTATCAATCATGTTTCATAATGTCAATTGAAGAACAAAAACAAATATGAAAACTTGAAAATCTAGATAATTACCTAGATTGTGACGAAACAAAATCTTTTGCACAGTAGCATGAATGTAAACAGAAATGGAGAGAGGATTGGCGTAAGTTAACAAATCAGCAGCAGTATGCCTATGACCCATGTGATAAAAAATGGTGCCTCCAACTTTAATCCCAACCAAATGATCAAAACTGAAATCATTATAAGGCAACACTCCCACTTCCTTTAACCCATCTCTCACAGCCGATTGCCATTGCCTCACCGTCGGCTCAAACACCACCACCTTTTCCACCCACTCATATGATTCCTTCACCAGCCTCTCGTCCCAGCCCACTTCCCTCACGAACACAGGCTCAGCCCAAGAGTAAAAACCAGCATTTATTACTGAGCCTCCTCCCAGCGCTTGGGCTTGAGCATTGAGGACCCCATCTGTGGATACGAATTGCTGGGCAAAGGATGATGGAGTGGTGTCAATGAGGGAATTAACAAAGTTGTTGAGGCTAATTTTGTCAGGTTGGATGTAGGGTGAGCCTCCTCGTTCAAGAACGAGGACATTAGCTCTTTGTGAGAGTGTTGCTGCTAAGGGACACCCACATGTTCCTCCTCCTATTACTATGTAGTCATATACTGACACTGCTGGCGCATGCGTTGCTTCTTTGATGAACGGGAAATATGGGGCTGCATATATATAGTTACATAGAAAGGGATATATGTCGGAAATAAAATGACTGCTACAAAATGTAAAATTCGTGTATAAAACTCATGACTTGTTCTCATTTACAAGATAAAACCAGTTATTAAAAAGTTCATGTTTTAGGAATTATATGGCTGGTTCATAAAGAACAACTGAACACAATTCAGTTATTGCTGAAAATATACGTACCCGTTTCAGAATAAGCGATGCCATTAAAGAACAAAATGCTTCCAGCGAAAAAATTGCAGCAACCTCCAATAACCCATTTGAGGTTATTAATTTGTCTTCATTCTCTTCTGATGATCGAGGATATATAGAATAACGCCTTTTTCTTTTTCACAGAAGGCAAGCTCTAAACTCTGCTTTTATACATCAAATAGCCAGGGACTTTGAAGTCGATGTTCCACCACCTTTTGCACACGCAAATAAATTTTGATTGTTCAACTAGATCCACTTCGTACTGCTCTCCATGCAAAGATTCTCTGTTCTGGAAGTGTTTTTTTTTTTTCAATGATTAATTAATTTCTATGACACTTCTGTACAAAATGTCTACGTGGTTTCTTATTGTTACATTTATAAGATTGATAACTTGGGTAAGAAGAAAAGCAATTCATGAGTTGGTCCGTAACTTTGAACCGCATTAGCAAGACTAGATAGCTAAGGCATTTAATTTAGCAGAAGAGTAGATAGCTGAGGCATTAATGGTATGTTTGGCAGCCAGTGGGAAATGGAAAAACATAATCACTGAGGAATTCCTGGCCAAACTTTGTTCGGTATGCTTCACATATCCTCCATTCCAAGCAGTCAATAAAATCACGGTATCCACGTGGTTCAACGACTCGAGTCAGATAATCTTTAATTTGTAGCTTTTTTATTTGGTCGAAATTTTTTTCACAGCTTAAAAAGATTACTGTTTGGGTGAACTTATTAAAGTCCTATACTGCTATCTTTTATTTTTTCTGAGCCCAATTTACGTTTGAGGAAGGTTAGGGATGAGTAGCGATTACAGGAACGGCGAGAGATGAAAACATAGGCAACAAGAGTGTAGAAGATATTTTTAAAGTGTTTCAATTTGAGACATTTTTTATTTTTTTAAAAAAATTTATTATATTTTTTTGAGTATTTTTGCCTTTCAACTATTCGTTCAGTAATGTTGGTATTCTAAACTTATATATGATATAATTTTATCTTTCAACATTAAAAAAAAATGCATTGAGCACCATACCATTAAAAAGTTAACTTTGACAATAATTAACTAAAAAATTACAAAAAATAATCTAAAAAAGTATAGAAAATGACCCTTGAAATTGCAACTAAGTACCTCTATAAAAATTAATATTGATTAAGTCCTTAAAATGGTAGTTGGTCAAAATCACATTTTAATTTTTTATGTAGGTAAGAAATAATATTTATAGCTTATTATTTATATGTAATAACTTAGAAGAAATAATTTACATTAATTTTCTTATCGGATACTTATATGTAATACACTATTAGAAAAATTATAATTAATGATGGAAAAATAAGCAAAATATCTCATTAATTTAGATTTAGTGACAGGCTATCACTAATTTATTTTGTAGTTAATTTTTTATGAGTACAATTATTACCACATTACCACCCACCATATTATGGTCCTCTCAGCAACCTACTTTAGGTCTCTTTCAATTTGACATTGTCTAGGCTTGAACCCGAGACCCTCTGTGTTTTCATACACGTTTTTTGCCAATTAAGCTGTGATGACCTTTCCATCATAATATAAAAAATTTAATATATATTACTTAATTAAACACATATATTTAACTTAATGTATTTTTTATATGTTTTATATATTACAATTATGTAAATATATTTATAATATATACTATCACATATATACATTAATACATACAAATATGCAACTCAATATATATTATTATAAAATTTATTAATTGATATCAATTAATATATATTATTAGAATAAATATTTTTATATATTATTTTATATTATCTGTGTTATAATTAAAATATTTTTATATAATAAATTATTTATATATATGAATTTACATAATAAAAAATTATTTTTATTATTTTTATATATCATTTTATATTTATATTTATTTTTCTTATAATATAAAAATAATTATTTGTGTAATTATTTAGTTTGGTAATTTTTAATAGTTTTTATGAGAATCTCTATGTATATTATAATATTTTAATTAAAATTTATAAAATACTTCAGTACATTTTACTAAATTTTTAATTAAAAATATATGTCACTAATATAAAGATTTAGTGATGTAAATTAATGAAGAAATTAAATTTGTCACTAAATTTGCAAAATTTGACAAATTTGATGACATTTTATTTCTATCACTAATTTATGTAATTAGTGATGGATTTCAATCTGTCATAAAATGTCTATTACTAATGCTTATGGTTGGTGATGAATTTGAAATCCATCATTAATTCTATTTTTTTTTTTGTAGTGATTCTATAGGTTATTTTTTAGGTCATTTTTTGTAATTATTTTTAGTCAACTAAGGTAAGAAAGTTAACTTTTTTAGTGGTGATTTTATAGGCATAGGATTATACTAAATCCTACCTATAGACCTCTTGTAAATTTAATTATGTGTATTTTTATTGATAATTTGCTAACTAGGAATTGCATTATTTTGATTACTTGTACTGTTTGATGATTTGAGTTAATTTGTGTATTTTGAGCTCTAGGTTGTTTGTATGCTAAATCTTGATGTTTAAACAAGGCCAAAATATTAGTGCAAGTATGATATTTATGATATGGATGATTGTAATGGAGAATTATGATATTTTATAGTCAAACTACCGCCTTCTATTTTCATGATTAGGGGTTGAGTGTAGAAATTGTGATTTGTGAGTTGTTGTATTGTTGTAGTGTATTGCACAAGTCCGTTAAAGTCTATTGAGTGTGATCTTAGGGATATCATGAGCTTTTAACACTTGGATATGAAATTGAGTACCCTAGTTGTGTTTGGATTGATAATAGAGTGAGTTTGTAAATGAGTATTCAACTATTAGTGAGACCAGTGTCATTAGCTAGTATTCTAAAAAAGTTTTATGTAGAAATCTAGCTCACCTCAATTGGACTTCAGACGAAGAAATAAGGCGCATCAAAATTTACCCCAGAAGCTGTCATTGACAGCATTGTGTTGTCAAATTTGTGTAATATGCTATGACACATTGAGCACATGCCATAGTGCACCTTGTAACATCTTAAGTTTTCTCATTAGTAATTATCAATATTTTGAAGGGTAATGTGGTCAATTTAGATAAATTATTGATTTAGCGAGGTTTATGGGAGACTAATATAGTTTTTGAATCCTTAGACAGCCTTAGATGAGGGCTAAGTTGATGTTCAAGTGGGCCATAGCACAAAAGGGAGTTTAAAATTTTGTGGAATTTTTTGTGCCCTGTGCCGCGGTGCATGTGCAAAACCTACACTTATCAGATGCAAAAAACAGATCGAAAATAGAAGGAAGAAAGAGGGATAATGAGAAAGTGATATAGAAGAGCTTGTGGTCTGCTAGGGTATGATCCCTAGGCTACTTTGGAGGCATTTGGAGCTTGAATCACCATTGGGTAAGTTGCATATTCCCTCTTCTCCCTTATTATTTGAAAAATATGGACATTGGGGTAATAGCAGCTTTAATTTCGGTTCCCTTGGGTTTACACCAAACTCATTAGTTTGTTTAACATCTTGGGGAGTTAAATCAAGCCTCTAATCCTAAGTTTATGAGTTTTATGGTGATTAAGAATTTTTGGTAAGGGTTTGGATGAACCTTAAGTATAATTTAAGAATTTTGAGACAATGTGGGACATTGGTTAGCGAACTTGGTGTGTTGGAATGTTTAATAGGATGGTTAGAGTGTTTGGGAATGGTTGATGTTGTGAGAAAAGAAAATTAGGTGTTATAGGCACTTAAAGCCTAGTAAATTCAGAGTTAACCAAAGTGATAATTGATGAGTCTCACTTGATTGTGTAGATTGAGCGTTGCTTGAGCTTTATCATGTGTATAGAATGTGTGAAGCTAACGTTGAGTCATGGTAACCCTTTTGTATGACAAAGAGTTGAGGTAACCATATAGTTTATTGTGTTTATTAACTATTATAACTGTGTAAAAGTAGATACAAATGATAAAGTTGTGGTTTTGAAGAGTTATGTGTAAAATTTGATATTGTAAATGATTTTAGCATGAAAATTGATTTGTAAAAGGTTATTGATTTTGATTGATATGTATATGCTATGCATATAAATTTGTGAAGTGGAAATGAGAAGAAAAGTAGTAAAAATTGTGAAAGAGCATGATTATAAGGGAGTTCACTTAAGATATGTGGGGATATATGTGTAGAGATATGTGAGTAAAAAATTCATATAATTGGGTTGGCACCATAAGACATCTGGTGCAACATTATATAAGATTGTTATCATGAGACATTCAAGCAGTCTGACAACTCACTAGTACCTGTTAAGGTACGGTTAGGAGTTAACGACATGTCTATCACAAGTATGTGAAGAGGAAAAAATCATAGTCCATAGGTGGGTTAGATTACCTTTGGCTAGGTGTTTTTACCACCGAAAGTGTGCTCGAATCAATAAGTTGTTGATCTAGGTGAGCTTAGGGTTTCATATCGGGGAGTATTGAAGGTTTGGTGATTAGATGATCATGCTAATGTGAAATTATTGTGAAAAGATGCACTTATCTCATAAATATGGTATACTTGATATTACTATAGTTTTGATACTTTATCATAGTTATTTGTGGTAATAAGCATTTGATGAAATATATTGGTTACTAAGATGTTTATCTCACCCTATGGTTATATTTTACAGGTGAGGACTCCAGTAAGGGGAAGGGGAAAGAAGGGGCATTTGAGGAGTGAAGAATGTCATTGTAGAGCTCTTTCCTTTCTTCTTTTTAGGTATTGTAACAAATATTGTCAATATATATAATGCCAACTTAGGTACATGACATTATTTTGGATATCACTTGTATGGCTTTGTTATAAGTGTGTGTATCTT